AAACAAACTGACAATTGTCACGGACTGACTGCCCCCGTCCGTTGTCAAGGTAAGACCGTCCGCACACGGGGCGTATGCGTAATTTGTAAGCCGCACGGGGCGTATGAGTGACTGAGCCAGGCTTGGCCAAGAAAAATGGCTAAGGCTAAAACGAGATACATTACCGGCAATTGGAGATGGAGGCGCCAGTCTGGCGAGCTGCAGGATACGATGCTGCCGATGCTGCTGACACAATTTTCGCCGCTGCAGAGCTGCAGCTGCAGGATGCCCGCACACAGATGCACCAGATACAGATACAGATACAGTCACAGATACAGACACACAGATACACGAAGCTGCCGCCGAATTTGCGAGTTTCGAGCTTGCCACGACGAACTCCCGGAGGCTGTTGAACCGCACCACTCACTCTGAACTCTTTTGTGGGCTTATGCCGTTTTTGTGCACATTTCCCGCTGCCGCTGCTGCAACATTCGCGCTGCAGTTACCGTTGCCGTTGCCAAAAGTGAAAAGAGGCAGCCGGCGGTCGGTGGTCGGTGGTCAATGGTCAGAAAACAGGTTCAAATGTCGGCGACCGCAGGCGCAGGTCCTACGCGAGTGTGTTTGTGTGTGTGTGCGCGAGTGTGTCTGTATGTGCCGCACAACTTTCCCAAAAGTATGCAAAGATATTTAGCCTAGTTTCGGCTCTCCAACATCATCGCTGCTTTTTCTTTTCCGCTGCAGTTTCTTGGCATTTTTTCATGCAATTCAATTTACATTCTCCTTGCTCTCGAATTTATTTCAAAATTTATTTATGGAAGATCATTTCACTGGCATTTAACACTGTTTTTGTTTTTATTGTTGTTTCTAATAAAACCCACACACACGCCAGCAGGCACACACACCGCCGAATGCAGCCGTGTGTATCTGTGTGTTTGGCTGTGTAGTAAAAATAGTAAAACGCTCGGCACTTAAAATAGGAGAAGCGCAGCGAATAAACCGTTTGCCGCTGTTCTCTCCAATTGTTGTTGTTATTGTTTTGGTTGCTGTTCTCGTTGTTGCTATTGTTGTTGTTGTTTTAGTGGCTGTGGTTGCCGCTGCTGCGTGTGGAAATCACGGAAAACCGTTACACGCTCAAACGCCGGATAATGAAAGACTAACCTGCGAGCCACTAACCGACTGCCACATTGGCCGACTGCCTCTGAAAAGCCGAGCGAGCGCACGAAGGGCACCCGAAGTGCCCCCGAAGAGGGGCGGTGGAGTGGGGGGTGGGCCGAATGATAAGGAAGAAAGTGCACAGGAAAAGGAACGGAATGGTAATGGAACACTGGCCAGGCGATAACAACTGCGCCGCTCTCTCTGTCTCTCTCTATCGCTGTCCTCTCTCCTCTGTTCGGTTTCCTGTCCCCAGGTCTCTCTCGTTGCAGTGGCGCATTTCGCAGGGGGTTATAGGGGGTTAGGGGTTGGGGGTTGAGGGTCCAACTACACCCCCACCCCTTCTACCACCCGCTGTCTTAGACAAGCAAGCGCGTAAGTTTTTGACGCCCGTGTTAAGTCGGTTGGAAAAAGTTGCTGCTGAGTCTTAATATACCCTTTATTATAGGTAGGGTCTATCAGGAATGAACACTGACACAAATCAATGGTATATAAAGGTAATGCTCGAAGGTAAAATATATTCATATTACTCAACTCCCTTTACAAGAAAACAAAATCATAAAATATTTCGATTTGTTGTAAAATGTTATCAGATCAATAAATGGTTTTGATATAGCACGAATAGAAGATTTGCTCCATTATTTGGTTCAACATACGAGGGAGTCTCAGAAATATTTTCAAGGGAAATACAATACAAAACAATTTCGACCAAAGAGATTTCAGTGATACCTCCGATATTAATATATGTATATACATTTAAAAATATCATCTTGATCTTCTTATAAATTGTAAAAGTTGTTCTGTACATTAGGTTTGTTTTTTGAATTGTACCAAAATGTATCATTCTGAATTTAAATGCATTCTATTCTTCATCGACTGATCTTAGTTCAAGTCATAAAAATTAAATGAAAAATTAACAATTATATAATTAATTCAAGCCGAATTCGGTAGATATTCTCAGTTACACCAATATAAGCCCCAACAATCTTTAGTTAGGAAAGATTTCTGTCCTCCAAATAATTAGGCGTTTCGCCATAAATCTAGTACATATTGTACAACTAAACTTTTGTTAATTCAGTATTGCCCTAACAGTTGCAGTCACCTTAAAATAACGTAATTGCTAGGCGTATAACCGGAAAAATTGGTTTCCGCTGTATAATTTACATTTTGTTAGTTGCTAGTCTCACTATTCAACAACATGTCTAAATATTTATCAAGCAAGTTAGCAAGTTACTAAATTATTCCATCTCAGTTTCCATTTTAAACATCATGTCTAAAGCATTCCGTTAAAGACCTACTGACGTTTGGAAGTTATTATTTGACATAATATTTTATAAAATAAATATTTTTAACTTTTTATTTTCTAAACCAATATGATTTAAAATAAAATGATTGACATGTTCTTAAAAATATTTAAAGTGAAATAAAAGTTCTCAAGAACTGAGATCTCACTTACCTTGTGAAAACAAAATTAAAGGAAACGTAAGAGCGAATACTCAACAGAACCGTTATATAAGTTTCAAAAAATGTTATGTAATTTTTTTATTTACTCAATACTTTACTGATATAAATAAAAATATTGGTAAGTGCTGAACGGGTAAAAAATAAGTCTACATTCTAGATTAACATAAAATATTTTAAACTATAAATGTACAATGAATGTACAATGTACATAGGTAAAACTAAAAGTACACCCATGCTGAATATGGAATATGCCCGCCTCTAGTATCGTAGGGCATTGCAGTGCCTTCGGAGGTGGAATCCCTCACAAATTTTCCTTGTGCGATGGCGTCTGCGTATGCGTTTGGGGACCCCGACGGCTCGACGATTCGTCGGCTGATGGGCCGCGAACTGCGAACTGCGAGCTGTGCGCGGCGTCGTAAAAATAAATAAGCAAAACGGAAATTAATAAGACCCAAATGTTGCCGCTGTCGCAGCGACCTCCCTTCCGCCCCTGAGCGACCTGCCGCGACAATGGCCATAGCCCCATAGCCCCATAGCCATATAGACGCAGCAATGGCAACATCACCACCAGACGCAGTGAAAAAGAAGCGAACGCTGCGTGCCATGGCTGTAAGTACGGTCGTAAATACAAACAAGTATTGCCATTGTCGCACACACACACATTGGGGGTTTGTAGATGTGTGTTCACAACCTTTTCCTGCCTTTGTGTTGGGCTTCCAACTTTTTTGCCCGCTTTTCTATTTGTATTCGTTACGGACATGAACCCATTCGGCAGGGAGCACACGGGGCGTATGAGCAATATATTTATGTTTATAGCCTCCAGCTTGTGTGTAGGCATAAAAATGTCGCGATTTTTTTAGTGACTATGATTATTTGGCACGACAATTCAATTCCGCGAGTGAATAGGCAGCCATAAAATCATGGCACCCTATACGAATAATAATTTAGATTACTTTATTTAGAAATTGAATATCCCTGAATTTTACCATCTCATTTTAATGCCACCATTAAATTCATTAACTTCTAAATAATACTCATCAACTTGTTTTTTTAAGTTTTATTTATGTAGTTTTTTATTTTAATCATTGTTTAAATCTACAAATACATTTACAGCGGAGGGCGAAAGAACAAAAAATTAAAAATGTTTACTCATTGTTTTGTTGTTACATGCAAATTTTTACTTCTGCGTGTTGTTGACAAATTTGTTGTGGTTTTTGTTTCAAGTTCTTGCTTTTACCATCAAACGTTTATATAATTCTGCATTTGTTTATAAATATTTGTAGTCCATATTATGAGTTATTTATCTTTTTTGTTTTGTCCTCGTTTGGTTTTTGTTTTGCTTCGTTTTTAGTTTAGTATCATATCATATCTCTTTCACATCAGCATCCATCGATCAATATTATTAATTACTCAATATAATTTGTTAACAACTAATAATAATAATTTTGTTTAGTTTTTCATTTTCTTTCATAACTAACATGCCATAATTATCGTTATCTCCAATGCTAATGATCATCTTCACTAAGTTAGAAAACAGACAGTTGGAAAACGAAAACAGCGCGAATTAAACTCGAGTGTCTGGGTGTATCTCTCTGCGTGGGTGTGACTGTGGGTCTAGCCGAGCTCATCGAATATCCGAATATCTGATTACTCTCATTTTTCACAATTCACAATTTGAGATTCGCAATTAGCCAGCCCTAGCCGCTTTGTCAGACCCACTCATTTGATAACGACAATGCCAAGCTTTTTAATTCGTTGAATTTCAATGGGGTGGCCAACAATCTGACCGCTCAACCGTTCGTGTGTTTGTTTCTGGGGGCGTGTGTGTGGGCGGGGAAAGCGATAAAAAACAATCAAAGGAAAGTAAACACAATACTGCCTTGGGCTTGCCCCATTTTGGGGCGCTGTGCCGTGTAAAACTTACAAACATTTATTTGTGGGCGCTTTTTGTTCTGTTATTATTCTGTTTTGGGTTTGCATCTGTTTTTTTTTGTTTTCTTCTGGGCCTAGGTATCGTATCTCGATCTCGATACCGATTTCGGGGGACTTAGCCCGCCGTAAACCGTATTTCTGCTTGGGTTCTCTTGGGCTTAAATGCACACAAAGCATAATATTGCATGTCAATTGGTTTAAGGGGTTTATTTATAAACATTTAGTTGGTTTTTTATTTTTTTAGATTTTAACAAACTCTGCAGATTCTCCGCGAATCGCCGGCGGGCCTCCAAATATTGCTCGGAGACCCATCTCCGGCTTTTCGGCGTAATGCCAAGTGCAGATCGGTCGATTCGTTATGGTTTCAATTTTGGTTTTTTGGTGTATTGTATAGCTCCATTTATATAATCAAATTTCCATATAATATATGTGTGTATATATATAAACAATTATATTCCTCGTGTTCACATTTCTTGTGGTTTTGCTTTTCTGTTTATATATATATTTCGTTCTTCTGCGCTAAGCTGCGTTTACACACACAAGTTTGCAAATTAATTTCTGTTTTTTTTGGTTTTGGTTGTTGTTGTTGTGGTTTTTATTGGGGTTTACTCTTCACGGCTTAATTGGTAACTACGCTAAGGTTTTTCATTGTTTTCTTTGCTTTCCTCTTTTACTTTTTATTTACTTCGTTTTATAATTTCTCTAAACTTCTTATATACTTTGTCTCGTCATGCGTTGTGTATCGGTGTGTGTGGGTGTGTCTTTGAGTGTGTGGGTGTTTGTGGGTGTGTCTGTGCGAGAGTGTGTGTGTGGATGCCTTTAGCTTTTATTTTTTGGGATCTTGTTATTGTTTTCGATAAGCTTTTGCTTAAATAATCGATTCATCCAGTTCGTTACGTTAATAATTTTACTAAAAACATGGTGTTGTTACTGTTTTTTGCTTAGTTACTGGCTGCTTTTGTTTTATTCTGTTGTATTTGTTCTTGTTTCTGCATTTGTCTGGTTGTGATTGGTGTTCCTTCGAAATTGTTGTTGTTTTGTTTTCATTTATACTTTATTTAAATCTTATTTTTAGCTTTAATTTATAATTTAAATTTACTTAACGTTTAAAATAATTATCGCTTGCATTTTTGTTTCTCCTCGATTACTTTAAATAATTAAATTAAAAAAATAAAATATATTGTAATATGTTCTTGCTGTAGCTTGTTGTAGCCGTAGCTGTTGTTGTTGCCGTTGCTGCTGCTGTTGCTATTACTGTGGTTGTGTGGGTTTTGTGGTTCATAAACATTACTATTTGTTGCTCTCCATGGATTGTAGGTGTTTCATGGGTGTTTTGTGGGTGTTTCTGGGTGTGGTGTGTGTGTGTTTCTGTGTGGGCATGTAGCAGAGTGGGTGTTTAATAGTATGTCTCCTGCTCCAACCAGCCTCCGGGGTTGCGACGCAAGTAGAAGCGACGGGTCTCGTCATAGATGAAGATGGCCAGCGCGAATGGAATGGCCGGGAACCACCAGACGAGTCTAGAATTGGGTATGGAAAATCATTATTTATATGTCAGTTAAGATTTCCTATGACTAGATCACTCACTTCAGGGGGTACATGCGCAGACCCTTCTCCATGCCCGGGCAGTACGAGAGGAACGCGGCCAGCACGGTTTCAAAGACGAGGCCAAAGTTCAAAGCCCAGTTGCGCATGCCCTGCTGGAAGATCGAGTTTCGGCGCGTCTTACAGATGATCAAATCGGCCCATTGCACAACCACAATCGAGATGAAGAAGGCCGTGTGGCAGGTGTACTCCAAGGTCTTGCGGTCGCGGTAGGTCTGCAGGAATATAGGAAATACAATCATCAGAATGGTTTCATAATAGTATAATATAGGCCAAAGTAATTTTGTATCTTATAGATTTTCTCTTTACAAATGGTCTCTTATTTGAATGTTTACATTTTGTTTTCTTTTAATCATGATCATTAAAATGGTATGTTGAATATTTTTTATAAGATTCAGATCCTTTTTAAAGGACAACTGTCATATGTTTTTAACATTATACAACAAAGTGAAAAAAATGATAATAAAATTAAATCTTAGTAAGGTATTTCTTATGATAGTATACATAAGTAAGTATGCCACTCACCCATTCTTGTCCGTAGGAGTCAGTTAGATCGTTGACAGCCTTCGAGTCCCACATCTTACGAATGCCGAACAGTTTCTTGGGCAAGAAGCCGTTCTCAGCCATGATGACAAAGTACACAAAGAAGCCGGCGGCGGCCTGGATCATGCCGATCTGTCCGTAGGCCATGGAAATCAACCTGTGTTAGTTAGGGGGCGGGGTGAGGTGGAAGTGGGGAGAAACAAGCAGATCTCGTTAGACAACTCTCAAAAGCAGGCAACGCTTTTCTTTTTGTGTGGGGTTTGGTTTGTTTCTCAGGACGCAAGACACTTCTCTTTACGGTTTGGCTAGCGGTAAAGTTTCGGGCATCGGACAGAGACGGGAACATGCGCGGCTTGGCCAAGGTTTTTGTTTGTCGTCGAACATTGAAGGCAGTAAACAAGGTAAATTTGGGTTGGAAAGGCAACAAATGCTTGAAATAAAGCGGTAAACACTTGCACACAGGAAGATAGAGCGAAGAACACGTATAACAAACACAAAACACTTAGGGAGGAACAAAAACCCTGCCCAAGGACCGCAATGCCCGCTCAGTCCTCGATCCGAGTACCAATCCGTACTCGGGGTTAGTCAGTTAGATTGGTGTTAGTGCCACTTTACCTTGAAGCTCTTTTATGGATTGTTTAGCAAATGAATGTTTATCGTTTAGATTTAATGGTGTTAGACTTTTTACTCTATATAGCGTGGATAGTGTCTCAGCGAATCTCGTTTTAGTTTGCTGTAGATTTTACTGAATCTTAAGAGCGCGTAAAAGCAAATCGTACTATTTATAATTGACAAAAAGCGTGAGGGCGCAGAATCGTTTAAATTTCATTGTATTGTTTGGCTTTCTTACACTTTGCATTGGATGTGGATGTGAAAAGCAAAGTCATTGTTAATGCTTATTGAACATGCGGCTAAATACAGGACATACATACAGTTCTAAACATGCAAGACATTGAAGCGTGCCATTATAACTACGATAGGCAAATGCAGCTCTACAACCTTTTCGTTTACTTACGTTTAAGGAAGTTTCGATAGAAATCAACATAAAACATAAACGCAATCATAAACTTACACTTAAACACAAACTTAAGAGAGATAAACACGTAAGAGTATTGCACACAAAAAATTATAACAAATCTCCGTTGCCATTGCTGTTTAGTTATACAGTTTACCTATTTTCAGGACAACCTCCCTCACATTCAGACTTACCGCGACTTGGCACTTGGAACCTGATATTTCGGAACGAGTCTAGGTATAGATTTGTTATATAACGATCATGTGGTGTATCTAGAACACAACTGAAGCGATTTTTGTTTTTTCGTTGTCTCGAACAAACTCATCTACAAGTAACGCACTAACTGGTCTAAAAGTAACGGCAGAAGCTTCGTTTTTGTGGAGTTTTTGGGTAGGTTTGGTTCAGTCTTTTGCTTGTCTTGAGCTGGTGGACGTAGATCCACTTAACATGGCTCATTTGTTTGATTGTTTGTTGTGTGGGCTGTGTGTTCTAAGTGTTTTTTGTTTATCGGTTATAGTTTATGCAGGTGAGCGTTGGAGCGAGCGAGCGTTTTTCTTTGAACTAACTTCGCCGAATTCTCTAGAAGCAGCTGTTGGGCGTTTTCTTTTTGTGGCACTACGGTTTGCAAAACAGACACTTTAAGATCTGATATGAATTTTGTTCCTGAATAGTTCAAACACACACAATAAATCTGGGTAAAGATCGAAGTTTGTTGTGCGAGTAACACACCACAAATGTAACACTTAGATTTAGGGATTTAAGTGAGGGATATATAAAGGGGTTATTCCATATCAAAACAAAAATATGGTTAAGTTCAAGAATTGAAAATTATAACAGAAGGTTTGAAGAGAGCAATTTTTAAAAACTTTTTTGTTTTCAGAATATACGAAAGATAATTTCATTCCACATTGAGAGTTTCTTAGAACGGAAACGGAAATCATAAGATCACATTGAAACAGGAACGAAAAAAAACAATGTGAAACACAAAACCGTAGAAGAATAGTAATTTTTGATGTTCAAGAGTGTGGAATTTAAATTTAAACAAAGAAAAACGCAGGAACGCATCAGCAAACGAACAAACAGTCGCAAGAGTTTCCGGGTGAAATTTAGAATTTAGCATTCGATATTATTGATTTAGACTGGTCGATGATCGGTTGATCTATTGCTTAATTGTTGGCCAAATTACGATGCAAGAAACGCGACCACAACACATCAAACAAAGTTCAGAGTTGGTAAAGTAAAAGATGGTTGCATGTTTGTTCATTTTCTAGTTCTTAACTAATCAACTAAAAGACGGTTAACACTTGGATATTGGATTTTTGGTTTCTTTTTTGTTTTTTTTATAAAACCTTAGCGTTAAGTTTTCCTGACCTGCGGTTCACCAAGTTGTCGCGATACGGATCTCTCGGTTGACGCTTCATAATATCGCTCTCGGCTTGCTCGTAAGCGAGTGAAATGGCCGGAATCTTGCGTTATATGGCAATTAATGGTTATTGATTGTTCAGTTATCGGTATTTGTGCAAGTTGCAATTTGGTTAGTTGGTTGTTTGATAATCAAAAGAAAGACATAACAAGAGTTGAAAGAATGTAGGGAAATACAAAGGAAAATCTGATTAAAGTTTACAAATATATATAAAAATATTTGTATAAAAGATTTATATAAATATGCTTGCGGGCGAGTAATAAATACTTGTTCTTTATACGCTAGTTAATATTCACTAATAGATCGTAATAGATAGATAGAGTTCTGAGGGGAGGGCGGGAGGCTGTGTCAAGTAGTACCATCATATGGTATCTGTTGTTGCATGTTGAAAGGTTTATTGTATCTCTGTGTTGTTTTTGTTAGCTCCCACGTACTTACGAAGCTAAAACTAATCTAGGGCAGAAAGAGCATAGAGCACCCAGTAACAGTAAAATCGATATATAGTAAACAGTAGGTAGGTTGTCAAATGCACAGTTACAGGGTGTATAAGAATGACTTAGAGCTTAAATTGCGCTAGGTCGTTATAAATGTATCATTATTACTAAAGGACAATTTTAGCCTGGATTTTGATTGATTTTGATTGAGTTCGATAGGGTTTGAAGGAGGTTTGTGTGAGTGTCGGTCAACTACAACTCAAAAGAAGACGTTTCAATGAATGACTGATTGAGAGTTGGTAGAGAAAGATTAGGGCAAACTCTTGACTGATTGATTGATAGAATGTGCTGAATGATTCGAGTTAACTCTAGATTAGAAGAGAGTCGTGAATGAGTTGATGTCGAGATCGAAGATTTTTCTACCGATAATAATAGTGTAGCATAAGTAGAAACGTACGTATGTTCGATACAATATACACACTCACTAAATTAACAATAGGCCTGCTCTAGCATAGAGTTAAGTACTAAGATGGAAAGATCTATCACTTAACCCACGAAAAAATAGCTCAAAGGTATGGAGGTATTTCTTTGAGCCGAACCCTGAGCTTTTAGAAAAAAACATGATCGCCACTTACCTTCGCACCGCAAATAAAAGGGTCTTCTAACAAAACATAAAAACAAAGATCTGTAGAGCTTCTACAGTAGAACATATATCCAAAATCAATAAACCAGGTTATCAAGGAATAAATAAAAGAGTTATAAGCATATTTCCGATATCGGAACGAAAAGTTGTATGACCCAAAGTTGTATTTCAAAGCACCTTAAGATCATTGTAGATAAAGAGGAAAAGTGAAAGAGAGAGCGAAAGTTTACCAAAATTAAGCAGAAAAGTGAAAGGCAAACTAACTGACTTTTTGGCTAACGGGAAAAGATTTAAATATACTCCTAATCGAATTTACAGATTTTACAATTTCAAGTGCAAAATTTTCCGAGACGTTGGCCGAATGGCATTCGAAGAATTGTTATTCCGTGTGTTTTCACTGTTAAAAACTTATAAAGAGTTGGAAAAATTCTATTGCGATTATATAATAAATATGTAGCTAAATATATGTAGATATGATTACAATTACATTTATCAGCGAATAATTATTGGATATATTGCATGATTGCACAAACAAATCAAAAATCTTACAAAGTTTCATACATATGAAGAAAATACAAAAGGAAAACGTACTTTAAGATTTGTATAAAGTTCTTTCTAAAAACAGTATATATGGTAACCATAGGACCTTCGGGGACCAGTGATTAAAGTGTGCTTAGGAAATAGCTTATAAGAAAACTTGGCGGATTCTCTAAGAACACACCATGACCAAGTACAGTATAATAGGTATGTATAATTCGAGATCACTAATCGTTTGAACTTTACTTTTTACTATCTGAACGGAAATATCAGAGACTAGAAGAATCTGAAGAATGTTCAAGTAAATAAGGGAACATTAAACAGAAATCGAACGAAAAGCTACCAAATAAAACATTTAACATAAAACATGGAAAAGATTTGTGGAGTTAATCCAAATAATCAACATTCAACCAAGGAATACTTAAGCTATTTTAAAATATTTTAGTTAGTATATAGAAAGACAGAGATATAGCGGATAATATAGAGATAAATTGAGTAAAATGATTTTAATATCTTCGACTTGTAGGATAGAAAGAAAGCGTACTCTGATTTTTTTGCTTGCTTTAAAGACTTTGGCCGTCCAAAGTACAAATTTAGATCAATGATATTCAATTTGCTTTTCATTGCGTGACAAGAGAGAAATATTTGGTGGTTCATAGAGTTGCGGAAGATGCAAAATCTTGATTTGCGTTCGGATATGTGTCTTTTACTTTAATTAGAAATTCAGTTCTTGCTGTTGTTTGTTTGGTTGGTTGGTTGATAGTTGTTCTGGTAATTGTTGTAATTGATTGCAGATCAGCACAGAGCGAAACTTTACCTTTCGTTGACCAGTTTGTCTTGGAAGGGATTCCTCGGCTGGCGTTTCATAATATCGGATTCAGCCGTCTCATAAGCTAAGGAAATGGCTGGCACCTAAACGTGCAAACGATCGTTTGTTGTGGGTTGGTTGTTTATCGGTTGGTAGTTGGTTGAAGTGGAAAAAAATAAATGAAATTAAATACGATAAATTATGGGAACATAAACTCGCTTCTGCTTGAACATCTGCCTGGGATGTGGATTACAAAAACTCTGAAAAATCCGCTGAGCTGAGGGAGCGAACGCTGTTTCATTGGGGTATTCATATCTTACAGGCTAAATTGCATAACTTAAAACCCCCCTTAAATCGAACTTATGCTGCTGCAGATACTTATTGGGCAATGTTTGAGGTGTGGAGTGACGAACAGAGTTAAACATAAGATAATGAAAAATTTCGATTGAAATCATAAAATAAAATCAAATGGTTTCGTTCGGGTTAGTCGCTACGAATCGTGTGCAATTGGTAATTTTGATATTATAATAATAATTTTACAAACTTAAAATCCATTACAAATGCCAATCAATTTGTCTAATCCAAATAACGTCGAGGGGTGAATCTTACGGTTAACTCAGTGTTAGTTACACCACAAAACGAAAATCGTGAGCGATATGTATCTGATTTTATTTTTGTGAGAGAATAACGAAATACGACGCACACCAATTAACATTTAGAGCATTTAGAGTATGGCAGATGAAGTCGGTATTCGTTTTGGGTTAGGTATTCAAAGTCGGGATGATTGAATTGTACATGTGGGAACAGTTATATGCGTATGTATACACTTTATATATAACTTTCTGGGGCGGAACTCAAGAACGATGGAAAATGGACTTGTACTCGGAATGTACAGAGCAAATGTTATTATGTATAGATGATGTTATATGCATGACGAGCGATCTGCCACCAAATGGACATATGATACAGATATGGGATCTGAGATCTGAGAGGAAAGCTGGTGTGGTGGCCATGTACGAGTGATAACATTCTTAAGAGTAAGTTGGGTAGTTAGTAAGCCATAAACGTGTCAACGGCTTGGTTAGATGTTTGCGCTGCTTTTCGTTTAGGCCAACTTATTCTAGTACAATCCAGCCACATACACATAAGACATATGCTATATTATATGGTTTTCTCTTGATTTGCGCTTTTCTTTACTTCAGTCTTGATTTTTCTTTTTAGTGGTTGAGATTAGTGGGTTGGTGAGTGTGTGTGGTGTTTGTGTGTGTGTGTGTATTAGTGTGGGGTATAAATTGACTTGATTGGCACCTTGAGTTCACTAATTTATCGTTGAAGGGGTCACGTGGCGGACGCTTCATAATATCGGCTTCGGCGTGTTCGTAGGCCAATGAAATGGCTGGCACCTAGGTATTGGATTATGGCAGGTAGTTACATTAGCAACGGTTTACACAATTTCAAATTCAAATCCATTAATTCAATTCATTTCAAATCGGTTTCAGCCTAGATCTGTGGGTAGCTAGAGGTCGGGTCATGAGATAGAGCACTTAAACTACTCGATAGATAGGGTAGCCTAGCACTGGCGGTGTTCTCAAGCTGGATCTTCAACTGGATCGGAGGCTAGCGCGGTGGTTACCTCTCGTTCACCAGGTTATCGATCTCCGGATTGCGCGGCCGGCGCTTCATGATGTCCGCCTCGGGTCCCTCGTAGGCCAGCGATATGGCTGGAATCTGATCGCCAGTGCAGTCAGCCGCACAATTTACGTTCAGAGTGGGTGTTAAACAGGCTAGTTCTTAACAATTAACTGGGGTGGGCTACGACTTTAACATTTAACTTGCTCGAATGGTACTGACTTAATTGCAACATTAACTTTAATCTTCGACGGGATTGGGTTGGGGCGGAGGGCAAAACTCACCATGTCAGTGCCCAGATCGATGCACAGAATCGTCACGGTTCCCAGTGGCAGTGGTATGTCGCAGAGGATGAAGGCCAGGAAGGGCGAGATTTCGGGAATGTTGGAGGTCAGGGTGTAGGCAATGGACTTCTTCAGGTTATCGAAGATCAGGCGACCCTCCTCCACACCAGTCACAATGGAGGCGAAGTTGTCGTCCAGCAGAATCATGTCAGCAGCCTGCACAGGATCACATAGTTAATTTAGGCATTCGGCAAAACACAACAATATCAAATCCACATTGCGCCATCTCTCACTTACTACAAGTCTGTCATAAACCAAAAACATGAGCTCATGCAGAAAGGAAAATAAGATGGTATTTTCCCACACATAAAAACGTTTTCAACAAAATCCCTTCTTTGGTTATAATAAGAAATACAGCCTATCGCTTCGATAAAAAACCATATTAAATGTTAATATGAAATCGAGAATGTATGGATACGAAAAATATCACGCTCATTTGTAAATTTAGTTTCGAATGCTTCCTGATGGATGACCAATTTTGGTGATATTTTTAACCCGAGTCAATTGGCACATTATAAACTGATCTCTTACCTGCTTGGACACATCAGAACCGGCGATACCCATGGCAACACCAATGTCAGCCTTCTTCAGAGCCGGAGAATCGTTGACACCATCACCAGTCACGGCCACAATGGCGCCCATGCGTTGGCAACCCTCTACAATGATCAGTTTCTGCTGGGGGAGGTACGGGCGAAGACGATCTCGGTGTGGTAGCGGAGGATCTCATCCAGCTGGTCGCTGGACACATCACGCAGCTCAGCGCCGTGGACGACGGCGGCCTTGGCCTCACGGGGGTTCACCTCGGAAATGGGGATGTTCAGGCGCTGGGCAATGTCCTCGACGGTCTCATTGCCCTCGGAGATGATACCGACAGACTTGGCGATGGCCTTGGCAGTGATCGGGTGATCGCCGGTGACCATGATGACCTTGATACCGGCCGATCGGCACTTGGCCACGGCATCGGGCACGGCGGCACGGGGAGGATCAATCATGGACATGAGACCGACGAAACGGAGGTTATCGATGGGGAAGTTAATGTCGTCGGTGTTGAACTTGAATCCGGAGGGATACTTGTCGGAGGGCAGCATAAAGTCACAGAAACCGAGCACACGCTCACCCAGTCCTCCGAGTTCCATGTAGGCATTGTTGAATGCCTCCTTCATCTCCTCGTCCAGGACCTTTTCCTTGCCGTTGATGAAGATGGTGGAGCAACGCTCCAGAATACGCTCGGGAGCTCCCTTCATTACGAGCAAGTAGCGGGGGTCGTTGGCATCCTCGCACTCATGGATGGACACCTGGTATTTGTTGGTGGAGTTGAACGGCACCTCGGCAATCTTCTTGTTGCGCTTGCGAATGTTCATCACATCGCCCAGGGCCAGTTCCATGCACTTGAGCAGAGCAGCCTCAGAGGCATCTCCACTGACTTCTTTCTTGAGGATGGGTACGCCATCTTGGCCTCCCTTGAACTCGGCACGGTTACAGAGAGTGGCAATGCGAGAGAGCGCCTTGAATCCAGGGCTGGTTCTATCGTATTGAACACCCGACTGATCCTCGGTGGTGTCGGCCTCGATGATCTGGTTGTCGAACCACATGTGAGCGACCGTCATTCGGTTCTGGGTGAGGGTGCCGGTCTTATCGGAGCAGATGGTCGATGTGGAGCCAAGGGTCTCCACGGCCTCCAGATTCTTTACCAGACAGTTCTTGGAGGCCATACGCTTGGCGGTGAGGGTCAGGCACACAGTGACGGTGGCCAGCAGGCCCTCGGGCACGTTGGCGACGATGATGCCAATCAAGAAGATGACAGCGTCCAGCCAGTGGTAGCCCAGGATGAAGGCAATCACGAAGAAGGTGACGCCAAGGAACACGGCCACGCCGGTAATCAGGTGGATGAAATGGTGGATCTCCTTGGCAATGGGCGTCTCGCCGGTGTCCAGACCGGAGGCGAGGCCAGCAATGCGGCCCATGACGGTGTGATCGCCACAGCTGATGACCACACCCTTGGCAGTGCCCTCGACGGCGTTGGTGGAGAAGAAGGCCAGATTCTTGGTCTCCAGCGGATTCTCATGGGTGAACTCGGCGCCACGGGATTGCGGCTCCGACTCGCCGGTCAGCGAGGAGTTGTCCACCTTGAAGGTGCGCGCCTCGATGATGCGGATGTCAGCGGGGATACGGTCGCCGAACTTCACCTCAACGACATCGCCCAGGACGAGATCCTCAGCGCGCAGCGTGAGTTTCTCGCCCTCGCGGATGACGGTGGCGAACTGGGGTACCATGTTCTTGAACGATTCCATGATCTTAGAACTTTTCGATTCCTGCAGGATACAACACAGCACTGTTAGTAGCCCGCTCTTTGGTTGCCCACCTTTCGAAGAACACCTACCTGATAGTATGAGAAAATGCCCGTCACAATGACGACAGCGGAAAGTACAATACCCAGATACAAATTATCGTCGGCCGGCTCCTCGCTGGTGCTGGCCTGGATAGAATAGGCCACGAAGCAGAGAATAGCACCGATCCACAGCAACATGGCGAAGCCACCGAACAGGTTCTTACAGAACTTCACCCATTCGGGTGTCTGCTTGGGTGGCGTCAGCGCATTGGGACCATCGCGCTCCAAGTTCTCCTTGGCCTTGGCGTGACTTAGACCCTGCGGGAGATCATAGATCGTGGTTCACATATCTGCTACTCGATACCACCTGTCAAAGAGTGCACTTACATTCTCGGGATGTGTCTGAAAGCGCTGATACAATTCCTCAGGAGTGATTTTATGAAAATCGATATCCAACTCCTGTTTGAGATCATCTAAATTCTCCTTTTTATTAACTTTGGCCGGCATCTTGCGTCTTGACTGTTGAGTTTCGAAAGATTACATTAGTGGGCGAAGTTAGTGGTTTACTGCAGCGATAGACCCATAAGCCGACACATTATTCGATTTACTTCATGCCTTGGTTAGGCCTTCGAAAAGGCGTAGAGTGTTCACCATAGCTCAGAGTGTTTGGAGTTGGTTAGAGAGTGAAGGGAAAGATTCCAGTAGGAGGATAAGGTCTCAAGAAACCTTCGATAGAGTACACACCGTTATACCATTAAGAGTTAGGGATAAGTTCAGTTTAACCGGTACCCGTTGCTAACTACTTACCCGAGTGATTTACAACCTGTCAAAGCTGTTTCAGAACCCGTGCACATGGGATGTTATCGAGTGGGGCGAACCCATTCCGAAATGAGTTCGAGCGTGAGAATATTCAAAACGACCGCTCTATAGGTAAAGCTCTAGTAATCTAAGGCATGCGAAATGCGCGCTAAATGACGCTCTCGATCGAAATGAGCAGAGCACGTAAATGAATTGAGGTGCACAAAACAAAACGACAGGCAATTACACAGACATTTGTTTCGCACATATATTACGTATACAAAACAAAAGAAATTAAAAAGGAAAGACAACAAAAAACAGAAAAAATGAATGAAAATTAACTTTTCCTATATCGCAGCTAAAAATATATATTTACTATGCATTAGCTGACCTCGGAAGCCTTTGAATTAGCCAAAAAACAAATAGGAAAAACGAAACATCAAAATAAAATAAAATGGATTCGGATATTATATTATATTTAGTCCTAGCAGCTGTCTAGTGTCTGGCATTCTATCTTTAACAGTGTCTATAAGTGTTTCTCTTTTTCGAGAAGCACGCAGAATGCTTTTTGGCTCTCTGACGTCATTGTTGGGGTTGCCATGCAATCAAGGCAAAAAACAAACAAATTAAACTACTGGTCATTTGGAAACTTTTGAAAACCGCCAAGAAACTGTTTTCTATCAATATTGAAAAATTCCAGGAAATATTTTTTGAACATAAAGAGCTACACTTGAGTGGCTAGCCAATGGAGGATGGAAATTATTAGAGAAAATCAGAAATTGCCATATTTATGGCATTATTATTATTGGCCACCGTTATACATAGCAAGCATACCTATTTATAGCTGCTGTAAACATTTCGCCGATTCTTTTTAAATGTCAACCGCACTCGGTAAATGCCATTGGAAACATGCCCAAAATCTAACAAATATAATAAATAATAAGTGCAATTATAGACCGGGAAAAGGGAAATCAATGGGAACGGAATGGGTTAGTAAGGCGCATAAAATCGAAAGGAAAGCAGAGTGTGTGAAAAGTGAAAAACATAAATAAAGTGGATGAGAGATGTGTAATATGTGTGTGTGAGGAAATTTCGATTTACCTTGTACTGGCCATCGGCTGTGCGATTGTCGTCATCGGTGGCTATAACCGTGGCGACTCGATAGGAGTCCGCTCTCCCATGCTACGCGCATGAAGGTTCGGTTTTGGTTGGGTTTTGGTGGGTTGGTGGTTCGATTGGTTGTTGGGTGGTGTTTGATTGATGATGTCGATGATGGGCGAACAAAATAACGTATTTACGGGGAAGAGATAAAAATCAAAAATCGAACAGAACGAAAAACGGGCATAAACAAATGCAAGACGTACACTATGATATGACTATAATATTAAAACAAGGGAGTCATTTACTACCCTCGATAAAGTGATAAATGATATATTATAAAAAAACATTTTAAAGAAATATGATATAATCTTTCTTTTTTTGATGTGATATGATATTTAAGATACAGTTTTTTCATTTATCATTGTATTATTTTTACTTTATCAGGGCTAGCAAATACCCTAACTATAAGTATACACATAATAACCAAAAATATGATGCATATGTTTGGATGATGCAGAAATACTACAAATAAACTTATGCAATAGATGATAACATTAATATGATAGGGCATGATGCATACAGTAATTCTAAACTAAAACTAAGTAAGTTTCAAGGGTTTGCGGTTTTCGTTGGCCTGGCAACCCGCAAATTGTTTTGATGATTCAGCGCAAATGGGAAAATGGGAAACTTTTGCCAGGCTGCCAAAGGACAATGAATCATGTGTTATACATAGACTTCCAATAAAAGGCTTTCCAGCGAGTGGTAGCCAAAATTCGACCTCATAATGGATCGGGGAGCGTTATCTCCAGTGCTCGTGACTCATTCGTGGTGCGCTCCAATATTAGTTTAGAAAACAAACAAAAAAGCCAAGTGAGGAGCGCACCCGTCAGCGAAAAAGAGCTCAAATGATATGCAATATAAACAGCAGACTGCGATTTGTTTGGCCATGCAAACTGAGGGGTCGAAAGAAATCAAATCAAATTAAATTAATTAAAAATACGAATGTCTCGAGAGAAAAGTATGTATACACTAATAAATGCGAGGGCGATGGCGAGGGGAAAAGCGAGAACGCAAACCTGTCGCGTTCACATGGCAGCCAACTTGCGGGTATATTCGACTGTATTCGAGAATCTTACGCTTTGTTTGGCGTTGCTTTTTCGGCCTGGCGTGTCTTGATTTATTTATTTTCATTATATTTTATATGTGCTTTTGATTTGCTTTCAGTTTTTTCTTTATTTTCTTCGGTTCAATTGAGAACGCGACGATACCATGAAATAAATCGAACCGAGAATCGGGTCTACGGGAAATGGCACTGAAAGGTTTCTCTACTTTTTGGCTTACGCACTGTGGCAAGTGTTCAAACAACTATCGATCTGCCTGCGCGGCGGCTTTCGTATCTTTTATCTCTGCGTCGCTGGTTTCCCTCTCTCTAAGATTCCCTCTCAAGTGCTAGACAATCTGATAAGGGGATTAGAGTTAAGTCAACGAATGGATTAGAATGATTCTTAGTGGTAATGCTAACTTAGGCTTACATACTAGACCTACGGCTAGGAAGTGCAAAACAATTGTTGCCCCTGACTTTGGGCGGCGGAAAGCGCCTGGTTTTCCCACAATAACGCTAATTTCGATTTTTCTACACAAATTAATTCAACTTAATCGCGCTTTTCATGCTTCAATTGATCCGAAACAATGCCAAGTGGCACAGCTTGTGGAAACAAGGGTATGGGTTTGTGTTTGGGGTCCAGGATGGAGATCGAGGCGATATATATAAATCAAAATGCGACAATGGCCGGGCGGCCACAGCCACAGAAAAGCTTACATAACCCAGCGAAATGGAAAATGGCAAACTGAGAACTGAGAACTGAAAACTGCAAACTGTGAGCTGCCAGCGAGCCAATTAGGCGAACAGATACAAATGTATCTGTGGCTGGGCTCCAGCTGCTTCCCCTCTGGACAGAACAGTACAGAACAGAATAGAACAGAACGGTTTGCACACATTTCGCCGCAAACCATTTGGCATTTGAACTTGAATATCAATTTACAACAAGTCAGCGGTTCGCAGGGAAAGCGCGGTGCACCGAATTGACGTGCTAATTGTTCAATCAATGCAAAAAAGCCAAAGCAAAAGTATCTGGGAAATGTGTAGAGCCGTAAAGCTGGCGGGCGTAGCCGAAAACGAGCGATTTAAGCCGCACAAATTGTCGCCACATCGCTTTCATTCGAAGGTGCATTCGCCGGCAGGTGAGTGCAAGTTCGGATTTAACCAGTTTCAAACCAGATCGAAGCGGCTTAATCGCTCAGGTGTCCGATTCCGATTAATAGAACACAATGCATTCGACTCGGAAATCGAAACTGTTTTCCCTAGGCTCGTTTTCCCCGCCAGACCCCAAAAACAAACCAAATAATAAAGATTCCAACTGGCAAACCAGTTTTATAGGACGTGATAAGTTATCGTGTCTGGTATCGCGTATCTGAGAAATGCATTTTCACTCCGGCTATCTGTGAACTCGACTTGTTTTTTATGAACCCCTGGTAATCCAGGTGAGCTTAGCTCGCTAATGATCTCAGTTCCCGGAGTGTTCAATTTAGAGATTATTAGCAATTCCCCGCTAATTGTCTGCTTAATTTTCGCACGTTTTGCATGCTCTGTTTGAAGAACTCAAGCCCCTGAAGCCCTTTTTTACAGACCCATAAAGGTCTCAGTTTCTTATCACAACCCCTCCTTAGAACTAAGACAAGGGCGAGTTATGTAACCCTGATGGGAGATTTCAGAAACCTAAGGTAAAAGTTAACTTAAATTAATCATGCTCTCGTTGGTCAAGGTAAATTATAAATGATTGAGGTAAATACGTAAATGGGGTGAAATGTTTCTGAGCTCGTCAGCTTTGATTACCCACCTGGCACTCATAGTGCGGATTCTTGTTTAAACTTATTAGAGGCGAGACAGTTAAACGATCAACAAACAAAATGCAAACGACGAAGACGGCAAATAAAACACGAGTATAAAATGAACAGGAAAATAAAATCAAATAAAAACTGAAATGAGAAAATTAAAAGTTAGAATAGTTCGAAAAGGGCAAGATTAAAGGGGGCGAGAACGGTTAAAACGACTCGAGCTTATGCAACAATCCACAGGATACGCGGGCGCTGGAAGGACGAGGCGGTGGAGCAGCAAGTGGACCGCTGGAAGGCCACGGAGTCACGGGAAAGTGGTTGGAAGTGGACAATGGAAGCGTGTGGAAATGCAGGCGGGCTGCAGTTTCCAGGATGCCGAATAACGGCACATGGCCAATAGAGAGTCTGATACTGAAAGAGAGCACGAGTTCCGAAAGTGAGCGAGCTTAACGGTAAACAGCGCAGTGAGAGAGCCATTTATTAGGGGCGCAATCTCGAAAAGAGCGGCAGGAAAATGCTCGAAAATTTTCCAAGACTTTTTCCTGCCCCTCTTTTTTTTATGCTGTGTGCGGAATTATGAAATCGCCTGGCGGGGGGTCCCAAATCGCCATATAGCTCTACATTCCACTCATTCGTGTGGGGTGGCCAGGAAATTACTGCTATTCCAAAATGTAAATCGCGTCAATTGAATCTAAACGATTTCATTGCCACAAAAGTACGTCAGACGACAGCGACGCGGAGGAAACGGACGGACGGACAGGAAAAAAAAAAGCGAAAGACGGACGGACGGACATGCGTTTTTGGCTTGCCATGAACGCCAAATTGAATGCCAAGTCAAAAGGAGGAAAAACATTATTTCTGCATTTCTTCTCTCTCCCCAAAGAGCACACACTAAATCACTCTAGATCACTCGAACACTGTCAGATCCGTCTGAAAAATGCATCTTTCCCATATGCCCCCCGGGAAAATGCCTCGGCACACAGTTCTTTTCGATCTCCGCTCTCTCTTCAGATGGTTACAAATGTATATATCCATTACGCCAGGCATGAAGTTTTGGAAAAATCGATTCCGTACAAGGACGTTGTCGTTTTCTCGACGCCCCTAAGGGGGTGGTGGGTGGTCGGTGGGTCGGTAGGCGCTGCAGTTGAGCAGACATGGAAAGTTCTTGGTTTCTTTTTCATTCTTTCTTTTTTTTTTGCTTTTTTCTACCTTTTACACGTTTGGGTGCTATTACACAATTTTTGCGCTTGGCGTTGCGAATTCTGTTTTGGGGGCTTTCGCAGAAAACTACCCCGTTAGCAGTATTGAACTTGTTTTCAGCACTAGAACCGATTCGCGTTGGAACGAGACAAATACAACAAATACTGATCACACACGCTCGCCGATGGGCTATACGTAATCCTAGTGTCTTTCGTCGAACGAGAGGAGTTAGTCCTGTGCCGTGCTTCCTCTTCTCGAGCTGGACTCAATCGATGCACAGTTATTGTGTAAGCAGAGCAGCGGAGCACACACCAGCGCCGAGGGGGCGGGCGGGCGGCGGGGGAGCAGAGCTGTACTGTACCACCCGACAAATAGACGAGATAGCTGCTGCCACAGTGGACCTTTACCAGTTCGGATTCGACGTTCGACTGAAACTTTTCGGCGCGCCGCGAGTGGTTAAGCTTTCTCGATTCTCGGGTAGGACGGAACGTTCTGCCGACGTCGGCGTCGCGGCGAGAGCTTTCGCCAGCAGATGTTACACGGCGGCCCCAAATGCTCTCCTACACTGGTCGAAATACTAAGCTACATTGCAAAGAGATTCCAGGTGTTTTCCCTCCGACAACAAAGCAATTACTATTACTTAACAAACGGAAAATTTCTTAAGCTTGGCATACAAATGTAGTCCTCATCATATCTCATTTGTTAACCTTTTTTGTTTTACTTTGGAACCATTTAAATCATAAATAACAAAACTGTTGACCTACATTCTCTAAGAGGGCTTAAACTGTTCATAAGAGGGAAAACATTGCTTCTCGTATTTTGTTATAATTTTCGAGGGAAAAACGTTTTCATTTTGAAATCAGGTTTTGGATAGATAGGTCCATCTTAGCTTATCATTACAAATCCCATGTTGCTCCATTCTGTAGAAGGTGTACTGATTTGCTGACCTCATAAAGTCCGATTTTCACTATTTAGGAAGAAGGGCA